GATTGGATCTCGTCTCTTGAGTTACCCTTTTCTTCACTAATCCTAGCAGATTCATTCCAAATCATTTGGAATCCTTCCCGTCGGTGTGGATACGTGTAGAGGGACTGTAACTTCAGTCCTAGGTGATTAAGAACAGGCTCCGGATCGATATTTACTTCAAGTTGCATTGAGAACGAGGTAAGTGACGATTCCCTCGGTGATATACACGATCTTTCGGGTTTTGTAAGTTTGGTTGCGTGTGACGTTTGACTAGGTTTAGATCTTTCTTCCGCTGCATGAAACCTAGTAAACCAAACCCTAGATCGATATGATCACATGCTAGGAACCCGTAGATAACCCAACAGTTCTTACATGGAGATTTGGAAGAGAAAATCTATATGTCTCAACCAGAAGGTTTTACCGTTACTGGTAAAGAAGATTGGGTTTGGAAGTTGAATAAATCGTTGGGATTGAAGCAATCTTCCAGACAGTGGTACAAACGATTTGATAAGTTCATGATCGGGCAAGGGTACACAAGGAACAAGTATGATCATTGTGTCTACTTCTACATGTTACCAGATGGATCTTTCATCTACTTATTCTTATACGTGGATGACATGCTGATCGCATCAAAGAGCCAGATGAAGATCAACAAGTGGAAGGCTCAGTTGAATCAAGAGTTTGAGATGAAGGATCTTCGAGAAGCAAAGAAGATTATTGGGATGGAGATAAGTAGAGACAGAAAGATGGGGAAGCTTTGTTTGTCATAGAGACAATATTTGAAGAAAGTACTTCAATGTTTTGGCTTAGATGACAAGTCAAAACCTGTGAGTACACCGCTTGCCCCTCATTTCAAGCTCAGTTCGGTATTATCTCCTACCACAAATTAGGAACATGAGTACATGGTGAAGGTACCATAAGTAAATGCGATTAGTAGCTTGATGTATGCGATGGTGTATAGCAGACCCAATATTTCACATGTCGTTGGAGTGGTGAGCAGATATATGCACAATCCTGGAAGAGGACATTGGCAGGCAGTGAAATAGATTCTGAGACATTGGACTGGTTTTTCAGCAGGATGGATCACTTAGTCACTATGCGATTGGATATGTTGATTCCAACTACGCTGGTGATTTGGATAACCGTCGATCAACAACTGGATATGTGTTTACACTAGCGAAAGCTCCAATGAGTTGGAAGTCTATCTTATAGTCTACGGTGGCTTTGTCTACAACAGAGGTAGACTATATGTCAGTTAGAGAGGCTGTGAAGGAAGCTATTTGATTGTGTGGTTTACTTAGTGAACTTGGAGTTGGACAGAAAAACATTTTTGTATACTGCGATAGTCAGAGTGCTATCCAGTTGGCCAAGAATCAAGTCTACCATGCACGGACGAAGCATATAGATGTTCGCTTTCACTTTGTGCGGGAGATTATCGAAGAAAGAACTATACATCTCAAGAAGGTGAAGACTCTTGATAATTCCGCAGATATGCTGACCAAAGTGATCATTGCGATCAAGTTCAATCATTGTTTGAACTTGGTCAACATCCTGCGCATTTGAACACCTTCGGGCATTTGAGTGCCATGAGGCACAGTTGGAGACATCCTTTCTCGTTTGTTTTTTTGCAGATGGTGATATTGGAGCCAATGTGGAGATTGTTAGTGGAGTCTGAATGTGTTTCCAATAATGAATGACAATCAAATGGAGATGTTAGGTGTTCTTCGGTTTCGACCACAAGTTTCCCTCAAGCATTTGTCTATAAATAGGCAATCATTCATCCGTAGAAGACATCACCAAGCAAAACAATACTTAGAAGAAAGAGTGTTTCTTTGGAATTTTGGGAGTGAGGTAGAGTGAATTGTATTTTCACATTTGTTCACCGATATATTGGAGTTTGTATTCTTCCTCGCCGTGGATGTAGGTATTCTGTCGAACCACGTTAAATCTTGATGTCTTTTATTTTCTCTCGTTTGATTCTGTCGTCTCACATTTGAGACTCGGTAAGCTTCCGCACAAAAAAAAAGCCAGAGTCGTTCTAAAATACATCTGAAGTTAATTGGTTCGGCAAACCCAACGAGAAAGGAAAGGAGGAAGAGATGTGTCATGTCGAAAATCTCCAAATCCATGTGGGTTATGATTTTTTTTACTCAATCTTTCTTTTTAGATGATAATATTATTTCTTATGTGTATTTGTGACATGGCAAAATAAAATGAAGTGGATAACTATATCAGCAGAATTTTAAACAGAACTCATTAATATTTAACGTCGTTTCTAGTTGTGATGGAAATTAGTAATGATTTTAATATTTTGTATAGACATTTGGTATTTTTTAAAATTATGATATAGTTTATTGTCAAATTAAAAATTTATGTATGAAAATATCATATTTAAAAAATATGTATAGAAAAATATCATTTTCCCTAAAACAAATGAACATAAAGAAGAAGCTATATGCAGAGAAACAAACACATTAATAAATGAAAAACGAAACCCGACTATAGCATTTTGGTTCGGTTCGATTATTGTTTAAATAACCAATTATTGTTTAAATAACCAATGGGTTCTGGAAGTGAAATAATTTCAGTATGGTTTGATTCGGTTATTAACCGGATAAGGTTAACTATTTGGTCATTCAATATATCATTTTGTTTGGTTTGGTTTTAATCTATATAAAATAAAAATTTTAACACCTACAAACACAAATTCTGTTTGGATTTCAATTCGGAAAATTTCCGGTTACAATTTTATGGTTATATGTTTATAACCGAATTAAACTGAATATTTGTTCGGTTAATATTCGGTTTTAGTTAGAGGTGACCATTTCGGATTTTGGTTCGGGTTTGGTTCGGTTATATTCGGATTCGGTTATTTCGATTATAGAAAAACTATAACCATTCGGTTTTTATATAAAATTCGGTTCGATTATTTTATTGTTTGGATTCCGTTTTTTTGCTATAAAAACTCATTTTTCAAAGAAATTTTTGGTTTTTTCGGTTTAAAAAATCAGTTCGGTTCGATTCAGCTTCGATTTTTTCGGATTTAAAAAATCATAACCGTTCAGTTTTTATGTCGAGTTCGGTTCGATAAGTGGCGGATCGAGAATATATTGTAATTGGGGGTTTTTAAGAGAGTAAATTTAATTTTAAATGACGGGAGCATCCAACAATTTTAGTTAAAATTTTATTAAATTTCTTAATAAATTAAACATTTTTTATAAACAAAGTGGGGCATGTGTCCCCTACTTTATGGATAGATGGCCCATCTTTCTATTACAATTATATATTATCGTATTCGATTCAACTCGGTTATTCGTTTAATAAGCGAAATGGTCATCTCTAGTTATAGTTTTTTAGCTGATCAGACCGTGGATAACTGATCCAAATGATAAACCATTTCGTTTTGATTTTTTTTTAAACAAATAACCGTTACGGATTATAAGTCGAACGACGATCTCTAATAAAAAGTATATCAAGATTAATATTAAAATCGGAAAAAGAAATAAATTTATATGACATATTGATTATATATAAATTCTAACGAGGAATAACAAACATGAAGAAGAAGAAGAAGGGTTTATATGCATAGAAGGAAGGAACAATCCGCATCATTCACACCGCCTTTTCCTGCAACTCTGCGGACGCGACACCGACCGCGTCGTCAGGGATGAACCTCCCCCAGAACCAGTGGGCTTTCCAGACCCTGTTCATCTCTTCGATCGGCACGTTCTTCGTCTCGGGCAAGAGGAAGTACATGAAGATCGTCATCGCGAGGACGAAGATCGCGAAGAAGAAGAAGAGCCCGAATTTCAGATGGCAAAGCATCGTCAGGAAGAGCTGAGCCACGGCCCCGCCGATCTGATCTCCAGAGGGCTTATCTCGCTCGGAACGAGCCATCCGAGAGGTCCCCACGACCAGGCGAATCCCGCAACGTATATGCATATCAGTGCCACTACCAAATTAGCGTCCGATTTCGAGATGTTTCCTGTTCCCGCAACTCCAAACTTCAGACCGATCATGACTCCAATGGCGATCTGTGAATCGTGTTTTCGAGAAGAGGGTGTTAGATTCGTGTAAGACGTGAAATGGGTTCGGATTAGAATGTCGTTTGCGGTTGTATTACCTGAGTGATAAGCATCTGGATACCGCCCTGAAGGAACAACACTCTCCGTCCATACCTATCTACTGTGAAGACCGAGACAAAGGTGCACAAGAGCTCGATAATTCCCGTGACCATGGCGGACAGGAGAGCGGCTTTGCTACCGAACCCGAGTGTCTGGAACAAGACGGGAGCGTAGAACGTGATCACGTTGATTCCGGTCAGCTGCTGGAAGAAGGGGATGAAGAAAGTGATGATGAGTTGAGGTCGGTATCGAGGAAGCATGATGTTTCTCCAAGGGTGTTTCACTTGTTTCGCCGCCTCGCTCGCCTCGATAAGATCTAGGAACTCCTCGTCCACGTGTTCAGTGCCTCGGATCTGTCGGAGCATTTCCTTCGCCTGCTCGGTATGGCCTCTCTCGATGAGCGAGTTGGGCGTGTCGGGAAGAACGAGAGCACCTACCATGATCATGATCGAAGGCACACAAGCGAGGCCGAGAGAAATCCGCCATCCGTACCCTCCTTTGATCTGAGCTGTGAAGTAATTGATGATGGTAGCGACCACGATCCCGAAGATAATCGCGACTTGAAATCCGATGTTGAAAGCTCCTCTGAGATTAGCAGGTGCCATTTCCGAGAGATAAACCGGTACAGACTGTGCCACACGAAATAAACATGAGATCATGCGAGTTATAATAAGCTTAAACAAAGACGACGTTTTTCAATTACCTGATTGGCGAATCCGACGCCGAAGCCTAGGAGAATGCGACCGATGAGAAGCATGGCGATGTTCTTGGCGAAGCCGTTGAAGGCAGAGCCGACAAAGAAGATGAAACCTCCGAGGAACATGGACCATTTCCGACCGAAAACCCTGGTTACGGTCGAAGCGAAGAAGGACGAGACCAAAGCCGCGAGGTACAGGGACGACGTGAAGAGCGTTAGGAGCTCGCTGTCAAACCGGCAGTACTCATTCTCGTGCGCGTTTTTCATCTTGTGGTAGACAGAAGGGAAAAACTCCTTCAAGAAGGGTTCCATCGAGGTTACCCCTCCTGCAAGAAACCATAAAAATCCGACCGAATAATTGGATACGGGGTTTTAATTCAAATTAAAGACGAAAATATTTGAAGAAAAAACTAAAATAATATTTTTTAAAAATAAAAATCAAATTTGAATGTAACTCAAAATCGAAGTCAACCCCGGCATAAAAGGGATATAATGTTTTTTAAAACAAAAAAAAAAAATAAACGAATTAGAATCCTTAATGTCCATACCTGCTATAATTTCCAATAATATTCATAAAACCCTCACACATGTTGCCTATTGAAAATGTTTGGTGTACAAACGCAATCAGATATTATATTCAGACAAAAAAAAAATCGACTGAGAAAATTCAATGGAGGAAATTACAAGTTCCAATGAATTTCAGAAAATTAATACATTAAATCAGTCCAAATTCCACATGATAGTCCTCGCTCCGTTTAATGTTTAATTTCAACATGATGTTTTAGAATAATATTTTTGTTTTAAAACAAACGACGTTTTTAGATTTTCTATATAATTTTCTATATTTTTTCAAGTTTACCCCTTATTTCATCACTAGTAACTAGTAAGAAAAGAAAAAGTTAATAGTATTGAAAAAATAAACTAATAAAAAAAAAGGCATTTTGGAAAACTTAAACCGAGGGAGTAATAATTTCAAGATAATTGCAAATCAAATTTTTAGCAAACCCATGTCAGCATTTCACCGATAACATAAAAAAAGAAATTATCCCAAAAAAAAACACATAATCCTGAATTTCAGCAAGTTATGCCATTAAACAGATCCAAATTCCAAAAAAAAAAAATCTAAATTACATCCAAATCTAATATAAAAATAAGCGATAAGTGAAATTTTTTTAATCAATAAAAATCGAAGACAGCATAAACATCACCAAATCTAATTAAGAAAAAATGAAATTGATATAGTTTTTTTTTTGGAAGCTGAAAAACGAAAAACGAATTTAACAATAACCAAACCGAAACTGAAACTGAAACTGAATCTAAATTCGAAACAGCAGATCACTGACCTGAGATCCCAAGGTCGTACCCGAAGATCAGACCACCAAATGCGCCAACGAAACATGTTATGAACACTTTCGGCGTCAATCTGTAATTGTAGTTTCGGACCGGACCTTGGCTTACAAATGCTCCCCCTGCCATCTCTCTCGGATCTTGGATCCTCAAAAATATAAACACAATTAAAAAAAATTATAGATCTAGGGTTTTGCCTCTTTTCTTTTCAAGATACTTCAAAAAAAAAAGGCAGTGTAAGGAAAAAAAACACAAATCTCTGTGATTTGGGTTCTTGGTTCGAGCTCGATAGTGTCAGAAAACGAAAAGGGTTTTTGATTTTTTGGAAAATACGATGAGATCCCAATTTTATAGGGTTGGAAAAAGAGTGGTTGAATTTTCTAAATTTGAAGTGTGTGTTGGCTGACTTTCAGGCAAAAAAAAAAAGTCTTTCGACAGGAAAAAAAAGGAACAGCTGTTTCTTCTCTGTGAGCCAAACACCTAGTCATCAGGATCATCTTATCTCTATTTTTTTTTTCTTAATCCTAAATAAAAAAAATTATCGACTAAAAAATTTATTTTCGGCTTTTATTGGCTGTGAAATGTTTCACATTGACAATCCATATTATATATCCACGATCTTAACTGATAAATACCAAATTAGGGATAAAAGCGAAAAAAAATTATCAGAAGAAAAAAAGAAATCCGAGGGTATTGAATTGGATTAGAAGATAAGATTGTTTTCTTTAACGTGATTTTTTTAACTACCTTTTTTTTTTATTTCAAAATTTATTTTTTGTTATTTTTTAAAATCAAATTTTATTTTATTTTTATCAAATTACATTCATTCGAATTTTTTTTATTTTATTTTAGAGTCTTTGTTTTGATTCACATATAACTGTCATTACATATGTTTCTTTTAAAATGTTACATGTATTTTAATTTTATTACTTTTATATTATCATTCAATTAATTTAATTTTAAAATACATACATAATTTTTCAAATCATATTCAATTCAAATAATTATATATTATTTATTTAATTTGATCTAATATATCTAAACTGAAACATAATCAATTACTGTATATAATTTTATAAACTTGGCCAATAGTATTTAATTTTATATATGACAACCAGCCAAATACGGCGTTCTTTTTAACATCCTTATCGACAAAATTATGTGACAGACGCATCTCTACTGAGTATTGGATTTATATATATATATATTTCAAAGAGTACAAATTTGACTCACACACTCACTATGCCTTTGTGGCCCGTGAAAGACGCTCTCTCCACATTCACACGTAATTAATGATCTCTTTTTTCAATTTCTGAAAATCTAAGAACTAAATTACTAAAAGTCAACTTGCCGATAAAATAAGAATTATGTGTCAGATTTCATTGTCACTTGTTATTAAAAATAGTAATCTGCCCATTGCGGTCCGTTTGGACCATGTTCATTGTTGGCGACGTAAATGCCGTTGTCATTTAAACCTTTTTTTTTTATGAAATGTGATTGTATTACCAAGAATTTTGCGTTACATTTACAGGCATGGCAAGTCGCGTTACAAAAAATTCAAAAATCAATTAATAGCGTTAACTGTGAGATGTAGCGTTAATTCCGAGCCCGTATTCAGTTTCGGGTTCGGGTTCAGACCGGCCCGATTTTTTCAGACCTATATAATTAAGTTCGAAACCCGACTCTATGTATTCCGGGTTCGGATCGGGTCGGGCTGGATTGGGCCGGTCCACGGATCTCCCTTTGTAAATATTATTTTTTTCTTTTTTAAAATTTTCGGACCGGTCCAACTCGAGTTCGAAACCCGATTGAGCTCGGTCCGAAAATCCGATTTTTTCGGACCAAGAAACTTTGGCCTGAATCCCGCTATTTTTCGAGTTGGGCCTGACCGGACTTCGGACCTCGGGTCCAAATTGACACTCCTAGTGAGATGCGGTGGTTGTGAGTTTAATCCATTCAATAGAAATTTCGGATTTCTCTCTTGCAAAATGAACGAGAAATTTGTGAAAAGGGGATGAGCAATAATGCATAAGAATGGCGACTACAAACCATAATCCACTAATCATTGAGAAATATACCCAGATTTTGGTTTCACAAAAAAAAAAATTGTAATCTACTGCGAACGCGTTAAAATTGTATTCACATGCTTTTTGAAAAATATTTTTCAAAAATGTCATTTATCCTAAAACTATTTCTAACCGAGATGTCACAAAAATAAACCCAATTTCTTAAACTAGACTAGGAGATAACTCGACCAAAAATAAATAAATTCCGCGGGTACTTAAATATGTTCCTATATAACATATAATCTTCAACGACCTCTTGTGAACTTTTCCCTTCAGAGTTCAGATGACCTAAATGCCCTTAAATAAAGGTCGCCTATTTAAGCGCTCGCGACTCGCCAGCTCGTCAATTTCTACTCAGCTCAAGTAAATTCTCGCTTGAACATTTTTTTCTGGTAATCCATATTTTGATACGAGACCAAACTAATTTTGAGGTCGGAAGTAAACTATGTGATTAGAATTAAACTCTTCTCTTCACCTTGAAGTTTGAACTTATTTGTTTGACATTTATTTTTATAAAAATGTTTAGACAAACCGCGGATACATAAAAAAATTTACATGCAAAAGACATTACATAATATTTACTTGATCTGATTTTATATATAGCTTATGGATTTTTCTTTAGTATGATATAAAATAGATTTTTAGAATTTTAGTTATCCAAATTTGGACGGCTTAATGGTAAAGAAGAGAGTAAAGCTTCTTTTCAATCCGGATTCGAATTCTTATTTGGAGATGTCCATTCACATGGGTTTCTCCGCTTTTCCGGGAGATATAGTCGGGTTAGAAGTACGATAAACTTTCGGATGATAAAAAAAATAATAGATTTTTAGTTCATTGAGTAATTCTCAAAAATAAAATTGCTAGAATTTTTTATTTTTGTTTTTATTTTCTATTTTAATAGATAAAATGACTAATATTTCTTTTAGACCTTGAAAATCTTAATTCTACTCGGATAAAGATAGATAGGATTCTATTTTTTAATAGATAACTTCCCTTTCGATTTTTATTAAATATTTATCAATTAAAATAGATAATATACTATCAAAACCTAAAAGTTCAAATTACATTATATCATATAATTTTATCATTCTTAACATTTTCTCCAATTCTTTTGGCCTTTATGATGTGTAATATATTCAATATTGTGACAAGAACAAATTTTTTTAATAAAAAATAGATGAATCGAATATAATATAATAATTGGTTGATATCTATTTTTGTAAAATCGAAAATATCAAACGAATCATTCTAAAACCGAATCTGAATGGAATAACGAAATGTCACCTCTAGATAACATCGGTTCGGTTGGATTAAATAACCGATTAATTTCTGTTAACTGGATAAACCAAAATTAAATTTAAAAAATTTAGGGTTTTGCCAACCTCCTTTCACTCAACATTTCCTGCGTCGTCTTCAGCCTCCTGCTTCTTCTGAATCTACTCCTCCGCCTGTGCCGTCATCTGGGCCGTACGTGGTGGTTTTCTGTAAGTGCCGAGCCCCCTCTCTCTCGCTTGTGTTCTCTGTGACAGGGTGTTTCCTTGTTATATGAGGCGATTCTTCCTATTCTTTATGTTGTTTGGAGTTGAAATAGTGCCTCGATTTACAGTCCTAATAGCCGACCAGAAAAGCTTGCTGTTGTCGATTCATCTTTTTATCTTTTCATATGTTTTTCAACCATCTTTTTGTAGTTTGATTTAGCTGTTCTTAAGCATGGATATATTCCCCATTAATGCTAATGACGAAATTGAGCTGTGAATGGGTGTTTGATTCAGGTTTGTGGGCGAAGATTCTTTTTTTTTTTGTATTTTGATTACCTGATTGCAGCCTCATTAGTAGCTGGATTGATTGAAAAACTACAGGTTTTTTAATGGTATTTTCGTTTTAAAATTTTGAGAAAAAGGGTTAATCATTGTGTTGCAGGTTTGATCTTACAGAACAAAAAACACGCTTCCGTCCACTCCCCACTGTTTTCTGGTTCGGATTCGCCGACATCTCCACAGATGCTTTCCTTCGCTCATCATCCTCACCTTGTCTCCCTCGAGCTTCCACGGTTCTTCCCGCCAAAGGTTTTCCTCTTGGGGTTTCTCAGAAAGTTTCTTACCTGCATTTCTTCGGACTGATTAAGTCCAAAGCGCTTTCTCTTGTCGTTCCTGTGTTATTTGGTTAAGAGAGAGAATCCATAAGCCTGTCCTTTCAATTGAGGCATTTATTCTTTAATCTAGTTTTTCAGCATGATCCTCTTAGGAAGCTGGATTCTGCTTTTTTTTCTTCTTTTGACTCATGTTTCCTTAGTTTTCCTCCTCAGCCTTGTGTTTGGTTGCCGAGAAAATGTACAAAGCTCGATGTTTTTTGATGATCTTTGCAGGCTTTTGTGTCATCGCGGAGAGAGATTAAAGTATTCACCATGGCGACTACTGTTGAGGACACGTCCAGTACTATACCAGCTGCTCCAATTTCCCTTCCTGAAGGACCATGGAAGCAGGTTTTGTCACTGTGGCCTGCATCTATTTTTGGTTCTGTAATAACTAGCAAGAACAGTAATCACTAGAAATGATGTGTACAATGATCCTCATATGACTTTTGAGGTTTTGAGGGCTTTGAATCTTGTTAGATACCTGGTGGAGTGACTGCTGCTAAAGGCTTTAAGGCTTCAGGAATGTATGCCGGGTTACGAGTCTCGGGAAAGAAGCCTGATCTTGCACTCATAACTTGTGATGTTGATGCCACTGCTGCAGGTTCGGTCCTCTAATGTACAAGTGATCATTTATCTCGAAATGATTTTTTTTCCACATTGAGATTATCTTGATACTGTTGTTATTGATTTGGTTGTAAATTTTTTTCCAGGGGCATTTACTACAAATGTGGTTGCAGCTGCTCCTGTTGTTTACTGCAAAAAGATGTTAGAGATGTCGAAAACGGTACTCTCTCTACTTCTTCCCCTAATCATCTCCCGGACCGGCTGAGGTTTGATTGCTTTTGATTCATGCTCTTATGTATTTTGTGCTTCGACTTTTTGAATTGTCCGGTTATGAAGTTTTCAGGTACGTGCTGTGCTGATAAATGCCGGTCAGGCCAATGCAGCTACGGTGAGATATCTTTTCATTGTAAATGGCCATATATTTAGGGGAAAAAAAGGAGAATGTTCGCTTTTCGTTTTTTTATGTTTTTGTGGGCATTAATTAAAATTCTCATCTCAAGTATATGATTCTTTACGATAAGAGAGATAGTGAGGTATTGCTCTTAGTTTGATATCTGAAAGGTTTGCTCTTCAGGGTGATGCCGGTTACCAAGATGTGTTGGATTCTGTTGTTACTCTTGCAAGGGTATGTCCTTACAAAGTTGATTATTTCTTTCAAACTCGGTATATCTCACAAAGCTTATGCCTTTTCAGCATCACTTACTCTCTTCGTTATGACAGTTGCTTAAACTGAAGCCAGAGGAAGTATTGATTGAGTCGACTGGTGTAATTGGCCAAAGGATTAAAAAGGTGCAGTTTTTCGACGAGGAATAACAACGAATAAGTATCTTGTTCTTTACCTGTGAGTGTAACAGTTACCCTGAATCCACTACCATCTTGTTCATGTTTTACAGGGTGCTCTTCTGCAAGCACTACCAACACTAGTTAACATGTTGTCAGATTCCGTCAATGGGTAATGTCTTGTCCTTGTCTTTCTTACATTGTCCTTGTTTGGTAAGAATCAGCCATTTTTGTTTGTTAATCACTGGACTCTTTTAGGGGAGATGCTGCTGCTGTAGCCATCACTACAACTGATCTCGTGAGCAAGAGCGTGGCAATTGAGTCTCAGGTTAAAAAAAAATGTGGAAACCAAAGTTTCCGCTTCATGATTCGTAAACCCTAATTTCACGAAGAACATAAAGCATGAGATTGGTGTTGTTCAGGTTGGAGGGACACCGATACGAGTTGGGGGTATAGCAAAAGGCTCGGGTATGATCCATCCGAATATGGCAACTATGTTAGGTGTATGTCCTTTATCAGTTCTAATTCTAATTGTTAACAACAGAATAAACACCGAGACAAATTGTGTCTGTCTGATGTTACAAAGATCGGCAAACTTGAAAATTCTTTCCCAGGTTGTCACGACAGATGCTCTTGTCGAAAGTGATGTCTGGAGAAAGATGGTTAAGGTCGCAGTAAACCGGAGTTTCAACCAGATAACTGTATGTTGCATTCGAGACATTGTTTTTTTTGTCGGAATATCCGATTTTTTGTCACCTTTTTCCCAATGTGAGGATTCAGTTTCATGGCTGATGATGATCGATGGGGTTTTCTCACAGGTAGATGGGGACACCAGTACGAACGATACCGTCATTGCTTTGGCAAGTGGGCTCTCGGGATCACCCGCCATATCTTCTCTCAACTGTCCCGAGGCATTGCAGCTTCAAGCATGCCTTGATTCGGTATGATTTTCTTTGCCGTCTTCCCTTTTTTTTCAGAGTCGAATGTTTATTCTGAGATGTTGAATCATATGATTCAGGTAATGCAAGGACTTGCCAAATCAATAGCTTGGGATGGAGAAGGAGCTACATGTCTCATTGAGGTTTGTATCTTCTTCCACCGAAACAATTTTTTTGTTCTTACCCGAAACAGAAAAAACGTTATACAAAACTTGAGAAAATTTCAGGTTACGGTAACTGGGACAGAAACCGAAGCAGAAGCAGCCAAGATTGCACGCTCGGTAGCCTCCTCTTCACTTGTTAAGGTATGAAAAAATTCGGATAAAAATAAAAAACCGCTTCTTGCAAGGAGAGTACCTTCCTTACTAAACTAGTACATTATCGTTGATGGTGACAGGCAGCGGTATATGGCAGAGACCCGAACTGGGGACGTATAGCCGCGGCTGCAGGCTATGCCGGGGTTTCTTTCGAGATGGATAGTCTCAGGATATCGCTCGGAGACATCTTGCTCATGGAGTGTGGCCAGCCACTTCCTTTCGACAGGTTTGTCTCGCAACATCTCCGACTTGACCCGAATGTCTTGGGGTCTCGGGATTCGGATTTCGAGTTTTAATTTACGTTAAACGTGCTAATAAAACGTAGGTTGGGAGCGAGTAAGTACCTGAAAAAGGCAGGAGAAGTTCACGGGACAGTGGAAATCGATATAAGAGTGGGTGAGTTTCCTCTCAATAACTGAGCAAAACACGTATATGTATCTATTTTATGAACAATTGGATTTGATGAACAGGAGGAGGACTGGGGAGAGGGAAAGCGTGGGGATGCGACCTCAGCTACGACTACGTCAAGATCAATGCTGAGTACACCACTTAACCCCCAAACCTTATCCTAAAACTATCTCTGCCTTCTTCTCCACCACCACACACGCCTGTGAGTCGTCGTCTGAGTGTACCGTATTCTTCGTTTTGATCGGATATGGTGTATTTCATTTTCATGAATCCAAAGCAAGTCTTGGCCAATGCTCAAGTTCTTGTTTTGGTCGGTACCTGGGTTGTAAGTCTCATAACGTTACCCAAGCTTGGGTTGGGTGGTCTAGTGGTAAGATAACATGCAAAACATGAGGTTCAAACCTAAGCGTGGGGAGGGGCATTCAAATGGGCCGGTGAACTTTCGGATTATCAAAAAAAAAAAGTCTCATAAGGTTTCGATTGTGAATAGGGAACGCGTAAAACTCTCTTTGTTTTTAGGTTTCAATTCAGTTATTTATCTCTATCCGGTTAAGTTGTTAAATAGCTTAACTTCAGATCGATTTTATCTTTCTCCACTTCTATTTCACGACATAACTTTTCAACAAGAAGTTCGTGTTTTCAATTGAGTTGGCGAACCAAAAAAATATCACTTCCTCCTCTCTATCTTTTATTTTTTCCATTACATTCAAATTCTCTCTTATTATTCACCTCTCATTTACCATCAAACTTGTAATAAATCTTTCATCTGTCTATTAGGTTTGTACAAAATAAGATTCACAATACTTACGTCTTCGAAAGTTAAATTTTGTACGGCGTGACCAGTTTTAGAAAAATCATGTCACTCACCGTTAACCGGATAACCTATATGATTCGTATATATTTACACAATACCGGGTTTATTGATGTATATGGAATGTGAGACATTGTGATGAATCAAACCCAAAATAAATATTGGGTTGTGTGGTGATAATTTATCTAATTCTAAAATCTATATAGATTTTGACACAACTCCTAAGATTTGGAGTGATTTCGTCGGCGGAATCTGGTGATTTTTTTTTGCGGGAAACTGTCGGGTGAGAAGAGAAACATAATTTGATCATATAAAAAAGGTAAAGATATGCGAACTGAAGTCGATCTAACATTTTAAGAGCATTTTGGTAATTTGATTCGTCAATTTGATTCGAATACGGATTCGGAGGATGTGTTCATGCCATGATCGGGAGAAATCCGACAAGCACTCCGATAAGGAAGGAGACGAGCATGTGTACGGCCCCCGAGTATGTGAAGAAAAAGGAGCAGTGATGGAAGTAAACAAGGGCATTTTAGGGTTTAGGTTCGTTTTTCCCCTTGGTATTGTGTTTGGCTGCCGAGAAAATGTACAAAAGTTCGAAACGTTAGGAACTTGCTGATGATCTTTGCAGGATTTTGTGTCATGACGGAGGATTTTATGTCCGCCTGCAGCGAAATGATGACACTAGGGTTTGAGATGAGAATCGCCAGAGAGGTAATAAGCTTATGGTTACGGGAAATGTTCTCGGACATGATGTGACTAGGGATTAGGTCAAATTGGGTTTGAACCTGAGACAATGGGCCCACAATTTTCAACATTATGAAATACACATGAGCCCTATAACTGCAAATGCTTTCCTTCTATATATTTTAGTTTTTTTTTTCGTAAATTTAAAAACAATTAGTAAAAAGAAAATATTTGAAACAATTATCGAGTTTGTAATTTTCTATTAGAATTTTTTTCTCCAATGAAACATTTTAAAAAATCCTATCCAATAAAATTAGGGTTCGATTTTCAAATAGAACCATATACTCTACTATGAGCGTTTTGGTTACCAATCGAAAATTTCGATATTTTTTTAATAGTATCATTTAAAATTTTTGAACGGTTTATTTTTTTATAAAAAAGTTCAAAATCAAACCAAATTTCTGAAAAACTAAAATTTTTTAAAAAAATCTAAAATATTTTAATAAAAAATAAAATTGAACCGTACCAAAATCAGAAAAAATCGAATAATGTATGATACTAATTTAGTATAAATTTTAGAATATCGAATAAATCGTTCTCAAACCAAACTATTAAGATTCCGAAGCTAATCGGAAACGTTCACCGCTAATATGTCCACCCTAATTTTAACGCAGAAAAGATAACAAAAACTCATACACAAGGACAACACACACAGGCGGTGAAATGCGTCGTATACTTCACATAGAAGAAACCCCCCAAAACCCGACAAAACTCTCCACCTTTATACACACACACACTCTTCGCCCGCATTACAACAACACGCATACACACGCGCCATCGATATTTTTCGATAGAACAATATGTCGAAAGAGCTTCAATACTTACAGTACACGTACCGAAACAACCGTCCAACGACGAGCCTTCTCAACTCCGTCTTTATGACCACCGTGAACGCGGCGGCTCGAACGCTCGTCTCTGTCGCTTCAACGTCCAGACCCGAGACATCGGAACGCTGGTCGGCTTCCGACCACCTCAGGTTCATGGCCATGATGATGACGTGGCTCACCGTTTGGGTGCTTAGGGTTTTGATGGACCATTTGCCCCTCTCTCTAACTTCTTCTTCTTCTTCTTCTTCTACTATGGATCTTATTATGGACAAAACCGCGTCGTTTTACCATCCGTCTTCGCCGTTAGCCTTGACGGAGTTCTCGGGTTTCGGTTTGGCGTCAACGTCGACGGCGTTAGTGACGTTACCGGGGTCGTCATCGGATTTGGATTTGGTGATTGACGGTGACGGCGTTGACGAGCCTTACGTTAGGTCGCTTGAGCGAGCGCTTTCTCATGTAAGTAACTTTAATTACTCTTAATTATTTAAGCTTTATTCGTTTTTAAAGTTAATTCTTTTCTGTATTTAATTATTTCACTTTCTAGATTCTCTGGTCTGAATTTTCTATATGGTTATATAACTTATATGGTTTGTTCTGTTCTCTAATTCTGCCAAATACGTTAATATTGGTCAGTTTCTTTGTCTAACTATATGGTTAAGGATCTAATATTCTCTTAAAAATATTAAATTATAAATTATTATCAACGGTTACGTTTAAGGATAAGGTTTCGTTTCATGTCATATGAATTTTATAAATCTTTTTTCACAAAATTATGAGGTTACTAATCGGAGGAGTTCCCACGAAATGTATAACGTGGATGGAGAAGATTGGGTATCTGCCACGTGGACGACATGCATGTTGTCACTAATATATTGGAAGTGCCACATCAAAAAGAACAAGACAAAATAATAATAATCATTGTTCTTTATGTCATTATTCAAGATCAAGACTCAAGAGCTTACAATTACATGTATAAACATGTAATTAATATATAATTAACGTGCATATCACCATGTGTGCGTATGTTCATATATATATATATTTATATATAAATTTATTTTTAATGATTTCTCGCGTACATATTCACAAAGTATAGATTATGTGCTGTTTCTCCAAATATCGTTTTTGTATATATTGTTATAATTTTTTCCATTCTTATTATATGTTGTGCCTGTATAGGTACTAGGGCTAATGAACGAGATCCCAGCAACCTCAGGAAAATACCAGTTTGCCATGGCAATGGCGGAGAAGATCATGGAAGAGAATGCCAGAAGCCACCACGTGGCACTCCTCAACGTCAATCGGAGGGCTCTCGCTTCCTCTTTCGCCCGTACCTCGGCCCGTCTACAAGCCTGCCTCGACCGCTCTCAGGCCGACGAGCCCTTCTCGTGGCCGCTCCGTGCGGTCAGTGTCCTCCCGCTCGGAGGCTACGTCGCGTCCTACGTGAGAGGGATTCGCACGTGCGTCAGCACAGTCATGTCGCTGGCCGATATGACGGGAAATTGGCTTACTTCTTCGTCAAGAAAGAGGAGGGATGGGGTCGGGGGAGAGGGTTTAGGGTTTTGTGAGAATGAGGCTGATGTGGCGGCTGAGAAGTTAGCGGAGGAGCTTTTGTGGGTGACGGAGAAGATGATGGTTTACGGTGCGGTGGAGGAGGGGATGTTGAGATGGAGTTATGCCTCTGGTTTGGCTTCCTTGTCTCTCACGGCAACTCCTAGGGTTCAAGGCCTCTTGGTTAAGATTTCAGGCATGTCTTCTCTATCCCTCCCTCGTTATTAGCATTCTCTCAGTGAATCGATTCCAAGCGAAAACCGATGAAGGCAAGAAAAGTAACAAATGAAATAGCATATTGATGCTCCATTTAAATTAAAATGTCTATATGAAAATATAGATAAAGAACTTACCATGTTCTTAAAAGGGGATCATTTAGATCGCAATTTTGTGATTCCGATTCTGGTAATTGGATTCAGATCGTTGGAGAAATTGTAATGGTCGAATGGATACATAGGTCAAGCAAGTCTTTCTAGGGTTAAAACTTTCAAGCTTTTGTGACGGAACTGAAACAACATTGCCATGCATAACAAAAATGTTTATACGACTCGGACATGTTCTATGTGGCAGCACTTCTGGTCGTGGACCTAGCAAGAGACATAACTCAAGTCCCAGGACAAGTGAAGTTCCGGCTACTCGGTCACCCGCAACCCCCCCCCACCCACCCCCCCAACCGCCCCACCCCCCCCG